GTTTGATTACAAACAAATATTGTTTACTGTACGCCACTCCCGTCTTACAAAAAAATATTTTCAAAGTTAGAGAGAAATAGCTTCAAAATCATTGACTAATATATAATATTTTTATGAAAAATGCAATTTACCAAAAATCACTTAATTTTATTTAAATATATATAAATATAGAATAAAATTTTTTAAAGAATTCCAATATGTTTTTTTCTTAGTAATTTTCAATATATTCCTTTTTTACTAAGAATATTTTAGACTTCAAGTATACATTTTTCTCTCTCTTTTTAAGGAAAACTACGCGCATTTGTTTATGTCCAGAAACATAAGTTAATAAAATGCTTGTGAAAATATTACCATAGGACCAAAGCTTTCTAAAACATCAGCAATGTATTCTAATATAATAGGTAAAAATTGAGAGAGAAAAAACTTTGAATTTTGTTCTTATTGCTAAAAACAGCTTTTTGTGAAAGATGAATGTTATATATATATATAGGTTGTGAACTTTCAAGACAGATTTTTAACTTCTGTAAGGCCACTTCATGACCTCTGTACAATAGTATGCCACGATTCATCCAGAACCCCACTTAAACTAACCATATGCCCTACCCTTCCCCCTCTAAGCTGTAAGGCTATTGTGATTGTGAGGCGTAGATGGAACCTGGAGCCTTCAGTCTTGATAGCACCGAGCCAGAGTATGAGAAGTACTCTGACACACCTTCCCTGCAGTCAAGCTACATGACCCATGGTGGCTGACAGTGACCCCACCAACATCAAGCCAGAACCCAGCGTGAACTCTACCTAAATTCCCTATCCCCAAGGGCAATCCACAGACTCATAGTGGCTGATAACATCGCCATCTTCAGGCGGAGCACTGGCTCCACCACGAGCCCTGAACCTTCCTCAAACTGACATCAAGATGTTCAAGTTGTACCATGTTCATTTTATTTATTTTTTTATATTAAATACTTCTCTAAATATTTATTTAACATTCTTATTTTTCCGTTCGCCATTACTCTTCATATTTTCACCCTTTCATACTTCATCCAAAAAAGTTAGAAATAGTAAATATTTCTCTTTGAAATAAATATTGATTTTTCACGGAAAAGAAACTTATGGGGTGAAACTAAGTATTGTTTTATAATCACACGCCGCAGTCCTTTATAACATTCTATTTTATTTATTTTTTTCTCACAGAGAAGGGCGATGATAGCTTTGGGAAAGAGTTTGGCAATACTGGGGCAAGTAAGCGGGATTTATTTCGATTATTTTCAGAGGGGAAGGCGGGGAAAATTAACAAACAGGAGTTGCTAAACAGCGGGGAGCGCAGGCTGCTGGTATGGATGAGGTTCTGGCCGCCCTTTTTCATTCCTGGAATTGCCTGGTGATGAGAATGGCTGAATTAAGATAAGTGGGGCTAGATGAGTGTTTTTCTCGTGGGCATAAGCCTTCTTAGTCATTTTCTTCATTAGCTCCCATCGCCGACCCGATGCTTGAGTTGGCGACATATCTCCAGCCATACGCGCTTGTTCTCATCCAAGAGGAGCTGAACTTTTTGGAGTTTGTACGCCTTGAGTTCCTTTTTCGCTATTCATGTATAGACGACTTGCTTATGCCAGTCTCACATGCGATTTTTCTCATGGAGACCCTTGAATTTCTTTGAAGTCACTTTTTTGATGATTTTACATAGGCGGTGCGCTTTCTTCCTCTTCTGGCAAGGCCGTCTTCATGGCCAAGCTCATTGAAGTGATGGGTGGCCTTGGACAAAGTTTGTTTAGGCACTTTGAGCAGCCAAACAAATTCACATTGACGTTGAGAGAAACAGCTCAATAATTAATAATTTTTTTTTATTAAATTTATATTTCTCTCATATCGCAGTAAGAAGTGTAGAAATTTATTTTATGTGTAAAAGAAACATTCACCCTTAAATGCTTTATTTTCCTAGGTCAATAATTGCACTATGTTTTTTGACATCCTAAAGTTAGCATTCTCTCTCTCTCGAAACTTAACATAATGATACATAAAAACACCCATGGAGAATCCACAAAACAAATTAATTTTTTATGTTCAATCCTTAGTGTTAGATATATATTAAGATAAAAATTATTAAGATATTAAATCAGTTATTTTGGGGCACATGTAATATCAACACATTTTGCATTCATTTTATTATATTTATTTCACATTTACCACAAATGATTACAAATTGTTATGGAGTCAAAATGTTAGGTGCAAAAGTTTTATTGTGTGTGTGAGAGAGAATAGATATAAAAATTATTAACCCTTTAATCCTCTTCTTCTCTCCTCCCCAACATGATGGCAACACAAAACCTTCCCTCTTTTCAATCAACTTTTCCAACTGAATCTTGCTGCTAGTGGTAGATCCCTTGATAAGTGTTCTCCAAAAGGCTTTTCTGTTTGGTGAGCTTTGGAAATTCAATTGAATGTTGGGTAGATATTAAAGAGAGGGCAATGTTCATGACCATTTTTTGGTGTTCATGGCCCTTTCTCTTGTCCATATAGCATTATATTATCATATCACTCAGGTTAACACTGGCCATGTAATGGAATGTCTTAAATTAACATGTTTGGACTCTGAGGCTGCAAAACAATGGGGGCTCAGGATGATTAGAGAATTTCTATTTGTGCCTTCTTTGTATGCTGTTGATAGCAACATATTTTTCATATAGATAACTTCATATACGTTGAAGAGGGGCTCTTTTCAAATTTTAGAGGAAATCCCTATGATTGGACCTTATATTGGTCCATACAGATGGGTCTGTTTTCCAGCAAGGTCCATATATATATATACTGTGGTGAAGAAGATATTCATTACCATCTGATAACCTTTTCTTAGTAAATTTAAATCTGTAATAAGCTTCATTGGTACAAAATAAGACCATTTAAAATTTCACTATATCTTCCTTTATGTGTATCCAGTTGTAGCCTCACTTCACATCCAGATTTCATTCCAAAAGTGTCATGATTGATGTTTGTTATGAATATATTGCAATAATCTGTAGTAAGATTTTTCAGAGACACCAGACTTGAATCAATGCTCAGATGTTGAAAGGCTGTTTTGCGATTCAGTTCTTTTTGAATTATTTTTCTATTATGTGACTATCAAAAATAAAGTAACTAAACTAAATCCAAAAAGAGGTCTACTGTTGTTACATTGTGTTAGCATTGCTGTTATTTTGTTCTCAATAGCCTAGAAGATTGTTGTTGCTGTTTCTTATCCCCTTGTGTAAAGATTACACTAATTCCATGAGTTCATGCTCCTTGAGCTGTTTTATAATGAGCAGCAGCCTCTCCCAAAGGTCCTGTTTAGTACATCTAATGCAAGCCAAAATGTGTTCTGGAGCTGCAGGTGCCAAGCTACATTTAGATTGTAGATATAGTTTGTAAGCTAACCAAGACTTTCATTCTGTTTTGCTACTTTTTCATCCAAATTGTAGTTTTATAAGAATAAATATCCTTACCTTTTACATTAATAATTCCTATATACACTAGAATCTCCATTGTAAAGGATGCCTAATTGCAGATCTAGTGTCCTTTAGGTAAAGGTGTTTTCTAGTGTTATTGTCCTCTCAGGGAGGTTCTATGGTATAACGGTCTTGATCTAAAATTTACAGTTATGAATATACAAATCTAGTATAACACCAATTCTGAAATATAAAACCAAAACTAATAAGAATCTAATACCAGAAATTTTTACAGACTCAGTTTTTTTTTATCATCTTAGGTATACATGGTAAAAGTCATGATAATCATGGTGGGCAGTAGTTGGCGACTGCTTTCACTGTAAATTCACCACACGTGGGAAGTATTTCTGTGAAAAAGACACTTCGGCCAGTTAGTTTTTTTATTTTCTCAACGTTTCGACAAAATCTTTTGTCTTTGTCAGGGGAAATAAATAAAAATAAAGCATTTGGCAAGGCGTTAAGGCAAGAGAACAATTTTTATTTATTTCTCCTGACGAAGACAAAAGATTTTTGTCAAAACGTTGAGAAAATAAAAAACTCTAACTGGCCGAAGTGTCTATTTTTCATAGAAATATGAATGCCGGCCAGGCAGCCTCTATCTTCAGGATGTCAAAATTAGTTGAATTTTTACACTTACAAGGTTGTCAGAATCTCATTTAGTTACTTGCACTTACTGGTGGGATTGGACTTAGAACAAGAATCAAAGGCCATTGAAGCTACTGACACAAGTTTTAAAATCAATAATCCTAACTCTAAGGAATTAAACAGAAAAATATATAAAAAAATAATAAAAAAACTCTCAAAAAAATGATAAATATATTTTTATTAAAAAAAAAAAAAAAGTCACTTTTTTTTAATAATATATATAATGTACAAATCTACAATCTTTGGCGTGAAAAAGGAGAAAAGTAGCGGCATAGAAGAAGGAATTATTGTACAGGTGAGGGTGTAAATATGGAGGAAGGTATGATGATAGGATACAAGACCAATTTAAGTATCGAAAAATTAAAAAAAAGAATAATTTTTATTAGAAAAAAAAAAAATTTTTTTTTGTAAAAAAAAAAAAAGAATAAAATAATAATAATAAAGGGGGTGATGATGGTAAAAAAAAAAAAAAGAGGAGAGGGTAAAAAGCTACCCAATGGGTATATTTATATATGCAAATCAGATGGAGGCGGCCCAAGAAGAAGGGAGTTGGGTGGTCAGCACTGTTGAAGGGGATGTGCTAGGGTAGGCTTCGTAGAAGAGCATAAAGGCTGTGGAGCCTAGGACTTCGGAGATGGTGACCCTCCGGACGGCTGCATCTGAGGTACAGAACCAGTCCGTGCTGTTGTATGGACTGCGCCGGTAGGTGATGAAATGACCGCTGTACATGTCTCCTATATGGACAACGACGGCTTGGAGCTGGTACAGGTGGGATTTGGAGGATTCCCCTAGTCCGTTTGATCCTGTAGGCCTACAAACAACAACAACAACATTAATATCATGCATTAGAGCGTAATCTATTATGAGAAATTTGAATACATGTCCTAGTGGACATGGCACCTGCCCGGTAAGCAGAAGGTTGTGGGTTCGATTCCCGCCCCTGGACACTTTTATTTTTCCCGTTCGCCATTACTCTTCATATTTTCACCCTTTCATACTTCATTCAAAAAGTTAGAAATAGTAAATATTTCTCTTTGAAATAAATATTGATTTTTCATAGAAAAGAAACTTATGCGGTGTAACTTTAAGTATTGTTTATAATCACACGCCGCAGTCCTTTATAATGTATTATAAGCTTCTTTTATGCATATGATTCTTTTTGAAATAAAACAATTTTACACTGTATTACTACTGTCCTCAAAGCTTATGTCCATAGTTCATTTAAAATGCCTTTTCCAAGAGTTTAGTTTTAGTATCAGTATAAAAGGAAAACAGCCAAATGCAATATTACAGCACTATGGTAGATTAAATTGGAGAAACCTCAGGGAGGGTGTACTCCCCATTATTTTTATCATTGCAGTAAGGGCAGTAATTTATTTTATTTAAAAAAATGATATGTTGAAACTCTCTTATGGATTGTGATATTTTCAGAGTAGTATATGTAACAGAGTGGAATATGTAAATAGGTCACTTACTGGATCTGATAGAGGGAGCCCAGGGGTAGCCTGGTAGATGGGGCAGTAAAGGATTTTAGGGGAGTGGACACCTTGGAGCCAGCCTCCCTGGAACTACAGACCACCTACTTAGTGACGGAGAGGTGACAACACAGAGCATGGTGGGTAGGTAGATACTCCCAGCCGGGAAATCCCAAGTCTGCTTGAGAAAACAGGGAAGAGCAGATATGGCTTCTTAACAGGTCCACAGTTGAAAGTGGGGGTCGGTGGAGGGGTGGTCTAGACTGTTGCTTTTCGACAGCTATGAGCCAGGATCAAATCCCGCATTGGGCACTTTTTTCTAATAATAATAAAAAAAAAGGTTCAATAGGCCCAGATTCTTGCAAAAGTTCAACCCCATTAGCGAGTGCAAGTAACCAAACAGGGCTCTAGCACAATTGTAAATGCAAAAGTTGAACTGCTTTTTGCATGTGTAGACATGCGGTGCACTGACAATAAAAACAGTCGCCAACTTCTATCCGCCATGATTATCATGGCCTGTACCATGTGTACGAGGGATAATAATAATAAAAAAAAAAAAGTTGAAAGCAACCCAGGGTTTTGAAACACTGCATTTTTATTCAGTTAAAGAGTGAAGCAAATTCTGCGAGTGTTTATATGTGATATGGCAAAACCCTGCATTAAGGATAATATGGATAAAGTTATATAGCTCAAGATTTCAACCTAACCCTTTAGGTGTTGTCTGTTTTCAAGTTTATTCCAGATTATTGCTAGCCCTCAAAAAGAGAGGCTTTCAAATTTAATTTTAAAATATTGAACGTGTTTAAGATTTATACAAATATGAACCACTATGGAGCACACTGTGTATTTTAAAATATAATAAATATCGGTTATATGAGGACTATGACCAGAGTTGGAAATTTGGGTGAAAGATTGGCCAGAGACTGGTAAGAACATAGGAGATAGGCCAGACTGGTGAAAGATGGGCCAAAGGCTGGTAAGATAGGAACAAAGAGGATGGGCCAAAGGTTGGTGAGATAGGAACAAAGGGAATGGGCCAGACTGGTGAAAGATGGATCAGAGGCTGGTGAGATAGGAACAAAGAGGATGGGCCAAAGGCTGGTGGGATAGGAACAAAGGGGATGGGCCAGACTGGTGAAAGATGGGTCAGAGGCTGGTGAGATAGGAACAAAGGGGATGGGCCAGACTGGTGAAAGATGGGTCAGAGGCTGGTGAGATAGGAACAAAGAGGATGGGCCAAAGGCTGGTGAGATAGGAACAAAGGGAATGGGCCAGGCTGGTGAAAGATGGGCCAAAGGCTGGTGAGATAGGAACAAAGAGAATGGGCCAAAGGCTGGTGAGATAGGAACAAAGGGAATGGGCCAGACTGGTGAAAGATGGGCCAAAGGCTGGTGAGATAGGAACAAAGAGAATGGGCCAAAGGCTGGTGAGATAGGAACAAAGGGAATGGGCCAGACTGGTGAAAGATGGGCCAAAGGCTGGTGAGATAGGAACAAAGAGGATGGGCCAAAGGCTGGTGAGATAGGAACAAAGAGGATGGGCCAAAGGCTGGTTAGATAGGAACAAAGGGAATGGGCCAGACTGGTGAAAGATGGGCCAGAGGCTGGTGAGATAGGAACAAAGGGGATGGGCCAGACTGATGGAAAGAGGTGGGGGTGACAAGCAGGCAGGGAGGAAGGAAGGAATAAGAGGCTGACCTGAGGTCTAGGTAGGTGCCTCCAATGAGCCGGGCCCAGGGAAAGGTAGCTGCTGACCTGGCCAGACTCTGCTGCCGGCAGTAGAGGTAGCTGTCCATGTCCAGGAACTCCGGGAAGGAGACGTGCTCAAACTTCTTCACCGGCATGTTGGGCAGCCAGATGGTGCGCTGGAGGTGGAAGCACAGGCACTCCGGGAGCTGCAGGCAGTGTGAGAATTATTGGCTGTTGATACATGTGACAGTAGTCAACTAATCAGAAGGAGAATAACCCAGCATATTTACATATATCTACTATAATAGAGATTCTAATCAGCTGGCCAAGCACTGATTCATTGAGAATTTTGATAGTTCCCCAGATTTTTACATGCCTGCATTACAAAAAAAAGATTACATTAATATCTTTATTTTAAGATAAGAATCCATAAATCTCTATGTTACAATTACCTTATATAGTAGTAGTCTTGTTTATACCTAGTAGAATTGGTTATCTCGTGTATTGTCAATAAAGGTCACTGTGTATCAAATATCGTTCAGAGGTATTGTTTGAATCTTGAATCCCGATATACATGCCAACTCCATTTGGACAAGGAAAGCGAAGACTAGAATGCGGCTGAATCCACACTCGCCTGTTCAGTGATTCCCTAACCATGACATATGTACAAAGGAACGTGTGGCCATTGGACATGCGTCGGACCTGGAGGCTGTTGTTGGGTGCTGCGCTGCCTGGAGTATAGGAACTCCATCTATGATTCCTTTCTTCCTGTGGTGAATCTGTATAAGACCAGTGGTCTTAATAAAGCTTTGTGTATGTGTGATATACATGCTAAAAGATACAACTTCCTTAAGTTTTGTCCATGAGTGTATCTTTCTAAATCATATGAATATTAAGTGTTTAAAATGATTTCATTGAAGTATAGAGATATGTTACATACAATCTTATTCTGTGAATTTGCTGGAGTCAGGATATAGTAGATTCTAATTTATAGAGAGCTATGGTATTCAACACTCTCTCTCTCAACTAATACAAGCTATTTTCAGTGATAGAGTGGATGCCAGGAAAGATGGCAAGAGAGATAATTAGATGAGAAAGCTTGGCTGATCAGTGGTAAATCCTCTTAGTGGTTTCACCAAATTAATCTGCAGACTGCTCTACTATTGTATTGGGTTATTTTTCATATAGAGTAAAATCTCCATGAGAAGACACCTCTTTATGAAAGACAGTTTTCATAAGTAAAATCAGCATTTTTTTTTTACTATTTAGCCACTCTCCTGTAAGAGGACACCTCTCCCTAAAGGACACTTTGGCTCTGCAATTAAGTGTCCTTTACAAGGAGGTTCTACTGCACCTTGCATTTTGTTTTAAACACAAAAGTCAGTTTAGGGAACCTAATGTTGCTATAGTGGAATCTCTAATTGCAAACTAAAGTGGAGTAATACAGGGCAGTACAGCTACCCCAAAACAAAAGCCCCCAGGGGGTCGGTGGAAGGATGGTCTAAACTGTTGGTTTTGGACGGCAACGACCTGGGTTCGATTCCCGCATTGGGCACTTTTTTCTGATAAAAAAAAAAAAAAATGCTCCAATGGCCCCCGATTCTTGCAAAAGTCCAACCCCACCAGCGAGTGCAAGTAACCAAACGGGGGCTCTGGCACATTTGTAAGTGCAAAGTCAAACTGCTTTTCACATGTATTACACTTGTGGTGCACTTACAGTAAAAGCAGTCACCTACTTCTACCCATCATGATTATCATGGCCTGTATCACGTGTACTAGGGATAAGAGAAAAAAAAAAAGCCCTTTTCTGTGTACTACTCACTTTGCCAAAGGTAAGCTGCTTGATGAAGGTGGTCTTGGTGGCCGCCCCGGAGCATTTCTCACAGACCCCGTCCAGCACCACCTCCGGGGAGATGAACTTGCGCAGGCAGTCGTGGAGAGTGGGGTGGGCTGAGGGCAGCACTAGAGAGACTGAGTCGAAGGTATCATAGCACACTGGGTAGTGGTAGCCACACATCTGGCACCGCAGCTGGTTGGCCATCAGACCCCGAGTGGGGGAGGAGAAACCCCCCAGCTGTACGGCTGAGGGCACTTCCATACCTCCCCGCCCCACAATGGCCCGCACTGGGGATACATCTGGCTTCTGCCAACAACACAGAGACACAGTTAAACCTGTCTATAGCGCCCCCTCTAATAAGGTATATAAGGTATAGATCAGTGCAATGCCACCCAAATGAATGGAATGGTTTAACTATCTCATGTATGGACAATGAATCCATTTAAAATGTGTTTTGTTTTTAAGTTACTATTAATATGGCAAAATAATATCTTGTGTGTATCAAACATTTATATCTTCCAAGATAAGACTAATCGCCCATCTTTATCTTTCAGGAGCACTTCTCTCGAACCTTTTTATCTGCATAGTGGCAGAGCGCCATCTATTGCGATAAATAGGAACTGGAATAAACCTAAATCACTGTTGATGTTTATTCAGATGCTCTGCCATCTAAAAAAATCTCTTCCAATTACAAATAATTTGTTTTCACCAGGCATATAGATTTGTGATAAGATGGTTCTTGCTCACAAAAATTTTATAGTAATGGTGGAAAGGGATGAACAATCCTGGCTGAGAGAAACATAGCAGTCTCACCTCGAGAGATGCCAGGTCGCTGAAGGAGAGGATTACTTTCTTAGCCCTAGTTTCTTCCTCTTCCAGGGTGGAGGTGAGGACGTGATAGAGCTCATGGGCATCCTGCGGATCACACACATCAGTTTTACTAGGGGT